TATGCTGAATCAGTTTACCCCAGCCTGTTACATTCCAGCTCGGCAAATAAATGTTCTAAAATGTACTAACAGTCATTCAGTTCCTTGTCACTCAGGTCAATACATGTCTTTTTTTCAAACAGCAAACCTGAGAAAGATATGGGAGTTACTACTTTCAACATCATTCTCTAGTAACAACTGCCTTCTTGGTATTTTTTTTTTTAAAATTTGATTTATATGCCGCCCTTCTCCGGAGACTCAGGGCGGCTTACAATGTGCTCAGCAATAGCCTTCATCCTTTTGTATATTTATACAAAGTCAGCTTATTGCCCCCACAAACTGGGTCCTCATTTCACCTACCTTAGAAAGGATGGAAGGCTGAGTCAACCTTGAGCCTTGGCGAGATTCGAACCCTGCAGTAATTGCAGGCAGCTGGTCTTAATAAGCTTAATAACAGGGTGCCTTAAACCCCTGTACTACCAAGGCTTAAACCCCTGTACTACCAAGGTATCCCTAAATGAATAGCTACAGACAGCTTTTTCTCAATATATGCCTTCTCAAATATATTGTACAACTACTTAGGGATTACAGACATTTATATCTTGCTTTTACTCCAGGAGCTTAAGACATTGTTTCCTCTTTCATTTTATTTCCCACAACTATCATTCTTGAGACAAGTAGGGCTAAGAGAATGGGATTGGTCCAACATTAATTCACCAGTTCCAAAGGGTTCTTCAATTTGGTTTAGTGATTAAGGTGAGTCCTAGTCCACTTTAGTCACAAAGCCAGCTGGATGATCTTCAGCCCATCTCCTTCTCTCAGCCCTAGGAAGGAGGCAATGCAAACAACTTCTGAAAAACCTTGCCAGGAAAACTGCAAGGATTTGTCCATGCAGTTTCCAAGAATTGGTACCTGATCGAAATAAGGAAAAATAAACATGCTAGAGAGCAGGTGTGATGTACTGGCTAAGACACCAAACTAGAAAATGGGAGACCAGGAATTCTAGTTCTACTCTAAACATATAGGCAGTTGGGTGACCTTGGGCCAATCCTCTCTCAACCCTAGGAAGGAGCCAATAGCAAGCCACTTCTGAAATCTTGCCAAGAAAACTGTAGACTTGTCCAAAAAGTCACAAGGAGTCAAAGGCACATGCACACACACATATGCACGCACGCGCGCACACACACACACACACACAGAGTTCAAAGTTGGAGCAGGTTACCTAAGATGACATATTTACTCTATTAAAAAGATTATCTAATTCCAACAGTCCAATGGAAACAATAGATTCACAGATACAGCCTCTTATCAGACTTTCTAACCAGATACACTGTATTCACACTTTCTTGTTAGCAGGATGCAGGCAACACTTACCTTGCATAGAAAAGTGCAAGGACAGTTTAGTAAACTGGGTTTTGGTTCTTCTTGTGGCATACTGGCTAAAATATACCACTTAAGTTATACTCCGTCTGAATGCAGCATTCTATACTAATTATAAGAGCATACTACCAATCAGTTTTGATTGGTAGTGTGCTCTTATAATTAGTATAAAATGCTGCATTCAGACTGAATACAACTTAAGTTCATCATCCCTATTTGTTATCTTACTTAAAAGTACTATGTGAAAGCCTTGATTAACCAAAACTATAACTTCTCACTCACATTGTACACTTTGCATCACACTATCATAGTATGATGGGTATGTATGTATATTTATTTGAATTATAAAAGAGGTTACCAGGCTGCAAAGTGAAGTGCTAGCCTCCAACATCATCTTTATTTCCAGAAGCGTTTCCAGTCCCCACATGGACCCACATAGGTTTTATGGTATGGCTGTAACTTAGTATTTCTTTTTATTATACCCCCTTCCTCTGAAAAAGGGCAAGAATAAACAAGAACAGCAGAAAATGAGTGGCAGTAATATTCTATATAAATTAATGCTTTGTATCCCATTATGACCCTTATGATCCACATTATGAATAGGCAATGCCTCCCAGCAACCATTTTGCAATTTCAGTTCACTTCAAAATTCTCAATGTGACCACTAGATTATAACAAGTATTAGAAGTTATCTAATAATGAATTTATGTTCCAGATAAATACTGTTTATAAAGAGTCTTGAACATTCTAGTGGAAGATCAATAAGACAAACCTCTGAAGAATGCAGTTTTTAATGGCAGCATTGTTGTGGTTATTTTATACAGTTGAGAAAAGGATTATACTTACAATTTGCCTTATGGGGAAAGGGGGTACCTCTTCCATAAGAATCATTATTTATTCCTAAATATTTAGAAGAAATACCAAAAACACTTAGGTTTTCAGCATATATAAACTAACCAGCATATCCTAATTAAATACATCTGCAAGTTTTATCTCCGAGAAAAAAATCCAGGCACAATGTATCTGACTGCATAGCACCTTCTTTCTCTCTCCCCCTCTCGCTTTTTATCAAATATATCATTAACCTATGCCCACAAATCACCTTGTACATCTTTTTTCCACTGTCAACTTTATATCTGAAATCATCTACAGTGCTGTATGCAAAACTTTCCAAAGTGAAAGCTGCCTTATTCGGTTTCAACAAAAACAAAAATAAAGTATTTTGTGATACTTGAAGAGCATCAGATTTGGGGCTGTAGTTTTTACAATTCCTTAAAATTCCCAATTATCTTACAAATGTATTAATCACACTACAAACTAGAAGCAATCTCTCATGTTTTTATTTATAGGAAAAGCAAACCATTCTTTCAGGACAAATCCTTTTATTTTAATTACAAATAAGAGTAGAAAACAGTCATTAGTGAAACTCATAAATGTGGAAAATATTTCTCCTTTGCATTCAACTACTACACTATATAAAGTCATGCTGTTTCCTTAAAAATACTAAATTTGTTTTGAATACCACTTTAACCTACAGCAAAAATTCCCCTTCCCGCAGCAGGAATCTCCCTTCCCCCAAACACAGTTTTATTTTAAACATGCAAAAGTTCAACAGTAGGAATCATTTGCAGCCAAACAAAACAATTATAATGTACTTCATGTACATTTGCCTTTGAAGAATGCTTGGAAATTTAAATTGGTGCAGCATGTGACCATCCGGAGGCTGGGAAATCTGAACATGTAACACTTCTTCTGAACTAATTGTATTAGTTACAAACCTGCTTTCAGGCCAAGTTCATAGTGTTGTTAACAAATGGCTTATTCTTATGTTACCAGCATCCCTGTATAGATCTGTATAGACAGTGACATTGGTCAAGTGCCCTCTAAATAAAATTATTTATATATACAAATATGACAAGGACCTTTCTGCAAGTGATAGGCCCATAAGTATATAATCTTTCTGCTGTTATTCAGTGTTTGACTATCTTGATGAGCAGCCTTTAGATGAATCATGAAAATGAATTTCTTAACTTTAGAATGCAGACAGCTCATAAAATTCAGTCATTTTGCTTAGCTATATTTTCACATACCTATCACCAGTGCTTAATTTGTTATCTTGTATCTGCATCTCTATACACCATTCTGGGAGAAACAGACCCTATAAGTCATTTATAAGTTATAACCACCCTGAACAATAATAGTTATGCGCCCAGAATTTTGAGCTGATTACCAATGGATTTACAATACCCTTAACCCCTATGTACAGAGGTTCACATGATGAATGTAAACCATTAAAGTGGACCTTGACGGCCTCTGACCATGTCAAACAAAAAGAAAACAAGCTTTTATATTTATTTGATCAACAGGCTTAATGATGACTTTGGGCCATTCACTCATTCTCTCTCTCTCTCTCCTCTCAGCCCAACCCACCTCACAGAGGTTTTTCCTGTGGGGAAAACAAGAGACGGAAGTATTACATATGTCCATTGCCTTGTGATAACATAGCTGACAGATGATAGATGATAGAGATAGATAGATAGATAGATAGATAGATAGATAGATAGATAGATGAAAGAAAAAGGAAGGAAGGAAGGAAGGAAGGGAAGGAAGGAGGAAGGAAGGGAGAGATGAGATGAAATAGAAAAGAGGGGAGAGAGAGAGAGAGAGGATGGAGATGAAAGCGAGATGAGATAGATGAGAGACAAGACAGACAGCTTAAAATTGAATATAACAAACTGCCTATGTCAGGTCCTTGATAACCTAAATTGTGGATAAAAATGCCAAACCCAATCTAAACATCTGATTACTATAGATAGATGGTAGGTAGGTAGGTAGGTAGGTAGGTAGGTAGATGATAGGTAGATAGATAGATAGATAGATAGATAGATAGATAGATAGATAGATAGATAGATAGATAGATATTCCTCCTCCCTTTACCCGTCCTCCCTCTTCCAAACGAGCATCTTTTTTCCATCCTTAGGACCAACATCGCTTGCAGGAAGCACAGAGAGAGACCCCCTTCAAACACGACTACAATAAACCAACATTTCAGTTCACCCCAACGCTGTTCATAAAGATACCCATTCGATTCTACCCGAATCGTTTCCCCTTTTGGGGGAAGCGACCCCACCCCTCCCCCCAACACCTGGCCTCGAACACCCCCCAACCCCACCCACGCCTCCCTACTATCCCCCTCCCCTAAGCCCCCACCCCAATGCATGGGGTTTGTGCTCGCTTCCCAGGGAGTCACCCACACACACCCCAACCCCACACACAGGCACACACACCCGTAAGCCAACCCGTTCAGGGGTGTGTGGGGGGGGGCAAGAAACCAAGGCTTTGCGCCTCAGCAACCCCGGCTTTTCCTACGGCAGAGCCGGAGAGGCAAAGGGAGAAGCGGGACGGGAGGAGGAGGAGGAAGGGAAGCCCACATAGTCGGCAACTTCTGCCTTTCGTCCGGGGAGAGAAGCGAGGTAAGGGCCCCCACCCACCCACCACCCCCTTCTCTCCGCCTGTCATAACCGGGATGATTCGGTTCGGGCAGCAGAAAAAGCGAGGACGGGAGGGAAGGAAAGCGGCGTCGGGCTTTTTCTTTTTTTTTTTCAGGCCCCGGCGGTGGTGGGTAAGCCTTCCCCGCTCACCTTCGGCCAGCACCTCCTCCACCGTGACCTGGAAGCGCCCCACGGCGAAGACCCTGCTGCTGCCCACCGACAGGGAGCCCGAGCCGCCGCCTCCGATACCGATACGACGCCGCCTCCAGCCGCCGGTGCACCGCCGATGCCTCCGGGGCTGCCGCCGGTGCCGTCAGACTTGGGCATCCGAGAAAACTTCTTCATGGCGGGAAGAGAGGCGAGGAAACGACCGAGGAGGACGAGGAGGCGCCGCCCGTTCTTTCCTCCCCTGAGGGGACCGCCGCACCGCCCGTCCCCGCACTGGAGAAGCCTGAGGCGACCGCCGCGCCCCCCCCACCACCTTTTTTTTTTTTTTTAATTTTATATATTTTTTCTTCAGCAGCCGCTTCCTCGCCTCACATTCCCTCAGCCGAAGGGCCCCCTCTGTGAGGGAAGCCGAGCCCAAAAGCCCGGCGGCGGACGCCCCCGCTTCCCAACCAGCAGCAGCGGCGGCGGCGGCGGCAACAGCAGCGCCGCCCTCACGCCCCGGACCCGCCTCACGGGCGCTGAGGGGGAAAAAGGAGTCGCCCCCCCCCCCCTCCCTCCGCCCCTCGGACGGGCGCGCGCCGCGAGCCCACGAGGGGCGCAGGCGTTCCGCGGAGGGGCGCGTGCGTGCGTGTGCGCGCGCGCGCCTGCCTGCCTAAAAGGCTCGCTCGCTGGTTGGCGAGTTTCGGAGGGGTAGGTGGGGCCAAGCAGTGGGGGGGGAGAGAAGAAGAAGAAGAAGAAGGGGGCGTGTCTTTTTTTTTTTTTTTTGAGAGTATATATAAATGGCGCGAGATGGATTGGGGGTTAAAAAAAAAAAAAAAAGGTATGCCTCCAGCTTGAGAGGGAAGTTCGCGCAGGCGCGCTGCTGAGTCTTCTCTCTCTCTCTCTCTCTCTCTCTCTCTTCCCCCCCCCCCCAAACCTTCCCCGCCGTCTCTCTCTTCTCCTCCTCCTCCTATTTCCCCGCTGCGGAAGTGAGGTTTTGTGGTGCCCGGAGGAGCACGTGCTAGAGGGGCTGGAGGAGGGCGGTAGGGGTGGGGCGGGTGGTTAAAGCTGCTCTTCTTGGGGAAGGCGGGGGTCTTGAGTGTCGACTGGAGGTCGCCCCCCCCCACCCCGCTTAATTCTTTTTCCCTCGTGCAAGGGACTCCAGTTCCCATCACCTTCCCCCAGGCAAGGGGACCGCAGTAACCATCATCTTCCCCCTATGCCAAGGGATTGCAATTCCCATCACCTTCCCCGTGCAAGGGGACCCCAGTTCCCATCTTCCCCCATTCACGGAGACCACATTTCCCATCATCTTCCCCCTATGCAAGGGACTGCAGTTCCCATCACCTTCCCCCCTGCAAGGGGACCCCATCTTTCCCCATTTAAGGAGACCACAGTTCCCATCACCTTCCCTCGTGCAAGGGGACTTCAGTTCCCATCTTCCCCCATTCACGGAGACCACATTTCCATCATCTTCCCCTATGCCAAGGGACTGCAGTTCCCATCACCTTCCCCCTGCAAGGGGACCATCTTTCCCATTTAAGGAGACCACAGTTCCCATCACCTTCCCTCGTGCAAGGGGACTTCAGTTCCCATCTTCCCCATTCAAGGAGACCACAGTTCCCATCATCTTCCCTGTGCCAAGGGACTGCAGTTCCCATCACCTTCCCCGTGCAAGGGGACCCATTCCCATCTTTCCCCATTCAAGGAGACCACAGTTCCCATCATCTTCTCCTGTGCCAAGGGACTGTCAGTTCCCATCACCTTCCCTGTGCAGGGGAAACCCCATCTTTCCCCATTAAGGAGACCACAGTTCCCATCACCTTCCCTCGTGCAAGGGGACTCCAGTTCCCATCACCTTCCCCCATGCAAGGAGACCGCAGTAACCATCATCTTCCCCCTGTGCCAAGGGACTGCAATTCCTATCACCTTCCCCCGTGCAAGGGGACACCAGTTCCCATCTTCCCCCATCAAGGAGACCACAGTTCCATCATCTTCCCCCTATACCAGGGGCTTCAGTTCCCATCACCTTCCCCCCTGCAAGAGGACCACAGTTCCCATAATGTTCCCCCCTGCAAGGGACTGGCAGTTTCCATCATTTTCCCCTGTGCAGGGGGACCGCAGTTCCCATCCTCTTCCCCGCTGCAGCAAGATCACAGTTCCCATCATTTTCCCATGTGCAAGGGGACCACAGTTCCCATCACCTTCCCCACTGTGCCTTAAAGGGTTGAACCTCTTCTTTGGCTCAAAAAACTTGACTCAAGTCTGTCCTTGGCTTACTGTGTGGGGTGAGGCTCTGAATCCAACCTGGTTCTAAGAGTGAGGGAAAAAAAATAACAACAATATGCATCCTCAGCTCAGGATACCAAATTAATAAAGCATGCGTGTTCCTTGCAACTGGAGAGCACCAAGCTGGAAAAGGCTCAAGATTGAAGCTCTGCCTTTCTTGGGGCAAGATTTCTGCAACATCTGTGTGGGTTTTAGTGCCAAAATTGATGATTAAGCAACACTTTATATGCATGCAAAGTAGATTTGCAGAACTCGCTGGACCGAGGACAGTTCTATAAAAAAACTTTTCCGCACGAATAGTGCAGAGTTACAGGAAAGGGGTCAAAGGGGCCATCTATGTCAAAATTGAACAGCCCCCTCTCAACAGAGGGGGAGGGATAAGACATCATCTATCTCCAATCTACAACACAGTCCTTTTAGCCAGTTCCAAGGAGGCTCCACACCCATTTGCACCACTCGGGTGACCCTGAGGACATAGATAAACCTCAACTTGCTAAAACTCGCTAAAAGAATGCAAATGGCCAGCTGTCTGCAAGGAATGTTGAGACTCTAGAGCAGGGGTGGCAAACTATTCCATTGAGGGCCGCATCAGGGTTGTGTTTGACCAGGGGGGGGAGTGGGTGTGGCCAGGGTGGGCATGGGCAGCTCGACGTCACTCGTGTTGGGGGCACCTGTGGTGACCCGAGAGATCTGCTAGAGAAAACGGGCTCCCAAGCGCCGTTTTCGGTTGCAACGGCCTCCTGCAACCCTCTGCCAGTGAAAACAGAAGCTGGGAGGGCCGCCCGTGGCCCTCGCCAGTTCCATTTTTGCTGGCACAGGCACCGTGGGCCAGTCCTTCGCTGTTTCCAGGGTGCCCCCGCGGGCCAGATCTAAGCACCCCACGAGCCAGATCTGGCCCCTGGGCCTTGAGTCTGACACCCCTGCTCTACAGCACGGGTGTTCAACTCACGTTGTCACATTGTTGTCATGTGACATATCACAACTCCCCCCCTGTGTTAAAATGGATGGGCGTGGCCAGCATGTGACGCATCCAGCCCGCGAGCCGTGAGTTTGATACCCCTGCTCTAGAGGGAATATAGAGAAGAGCAACAGAGATGATTAGAGGACTAGAGGCTAAAACGAATGAACGGTTGCAGGAACTGGGCATGGCTAATCCAGTGAAGAGAAGGACCAGGGTAGACATGATAGCAGTCTTCCAATATTTGAGGGGCTGCCACAGAGAGGAGGGGGTCAAGCTATTTTCCAAGGCACCTGAAGGTCAGACAAGGAATAAAGGATGGAAACTGATCAAGGAGAGATTCAACCTAGAAATGAGAATTTTTTTGACAGTGAGAGCAATCAACCAATGAAACAGAAGTTGCCTTCAGAAGTTGTGGGAGCTTCATCACTGAAAGCTTTGAAGGAGAGACTGGACTCCCATCTGTCAGGATTGGTGCAAGGGCTCCTGCTTGGGGTGGGGGTTAGACTAGATGACCTACAAGATCCCTTCCAACTCTGTTGTTGTTATTAGGAATATAAATCCTTCCATTCCCCACCATCTAGTCTGCTGAGCTGGTGGCTCAGCAGACTAAGCATTGTGATTAACACCAGCTGTCTGCAATTACTGTAAGTTCGAATCTCACCAGGCTCAAGGTTGACAGCCTTCCATCCTTTCAAAGGTAGGTAAAATGAGGACCCAGATTGTGGGGGCAATAAGCTGACTTTGTATAAATATACAAAAGGATGAAGGCTATTGCTTAACGCATTGTAAGCCGCCCTGAGTCTCCGGAGAATATAAATCAAATTAAAAATAAAAAAATAAAATAAAAATAAAATCTAGTCAGAGCTGAAGAAGCTTCTTGGATGAGAAGTGAAACGTCATCCAAGAAAACCAAGAAAGTCCATTTGCCTCTTGAAAAAAAGCACCTTTGGGTGCTTACAGATAGCCCTGGATTTACTACCACAAAATTGAGGCCAAAATTTCGATTGCTATGCCAGGCGCTTGTTAAAGTGGGTCATGCCACGTTTTATGACCCTTTTTTGCCATAGTTAAGTGAATCACTGTAATAGTTAATCATACTATTGTTAAGCAGATCTGGTTTTCCCCGTTGACTTTGCTCGGCAGAAAGCAGCTGGGAAGGTTACAACTGGGGAGCACATGATCCCGAGATAGTGCACCTGCCATAAGTACATGCTAGTTGCCAAGCAGCCAAATTTTGATCACGTGACCCTAGGGATGCTGCAGTGTGAAAACTAAATAACTTTTTCCGGTTGTAACTTCAAACTGTTACTAAACGAATGGTTGTTACTTGAGAACTGCCTGGGTGTTCTGGCCCAGCCTTAGCAGAAGCAAGAAACAGACTCCTTATCATGAAAAACCCCTCTTTATTTTCCTCTTGTGAATTAATTGCATTCACCCATCAAAAAGTCCAGGCATTAGTCCTTCAAGGAGTTAACTGCGGTAACAGACCTTATCAGTTTCTTGCTATAATTGCAAGGCTGTGAGCTCCCAGCCAAAAAGGCTGCAAATTAAGTTCTGGCAAGGAGTCTTTGTGCCACGAATCACAATGAGCAAAATCTTCAGAAATACGAACTGTTGTCTCCTACGACAATCACTCCCCTTTCCTTCTATTTATTCCCCAGCCAGAGAGGGCCCATTCAGCGTCCATGTGTGTTTTGCTTCCCGAGTCGACTCCTTGTCCTCCATTGTTCTCCTCTCCTAACTGCTGTGCATACATTCATCTGGAACAGGCCTCAGCTGTTCTTCCTCCTCACTAATCTCAGCCTCCAAAGGCAGCTGCCTCTCCGGTGGCTGGGAAATGTCAGACGGCCCTGGCTCTATCTCTGCGTCCGACGCAGAGCATCCATCAGAGCCTTCCCCAGACTCCAGCACTGGCCTCCCCAACCTCTTCATCGTCCGAGTCTACTGCCAGCTTTGCTGGCAGCTGGCAGGCCACAAGGTGGGTG